AAAAGACATGCAGATGTGTGTGGAGTAAAATAAGGCTTTTTCAATGTTATTAATTCAAAGTGCCTGATCAAACGCACACCACAGACACCACAAAAATATCAAAAATCTTCCGTATCACAAATATGTGCAACCTTTTGTTTCTCCATCGTATGAAGTCCCAAAGCATTACAGGTTATGTCTGCAAAATGACAGAATGTGGCAAAACTTCTACCGGTTTGCAAAACTTTTGCGAGGCACTATGAGCGGAACATCACTGTTCTGCTGACGTTTCTCTGCACCTTCGGCAACAATGGTGGAACTCAACACGCGCTCAAGCAGGTATTAAAACGCTCAGTTTGGGATAATTGAAAAATGTGCAAGCACAGGTCTATGAAAGTCATTAGCTAAAAACAGTGGAGGCCATTGTCAGTCAAAGTAAACACTGGAAAAAACACGATAACACACGAGCTCAAACGCTGCAGTGAAGATATTTGTATGCTGAAGCTCTAATTGCTGTGTTACTATCCTTGTGTCAACGATGATAAAGTGATCTCTGGGAAGAGACAATATGAAAGCATACATCTGCCTGGCTTTGGCCATTTTTTACCGCCTGAAGGGTTTGTTTAGAGAAGACAAAGAAGGATTATTGTCTAGCAGACTAAAATAAAAATTGAATTTATCAGTAAAAACATAGGACATTGTGAAAACATACAGGACATTTGTTTATGTGTGAGATGTGGCAGTCAGTGTGTATAATATGATATATGAAATCAAAAACAAATGGGTTTGTGTCCATGAACGTGAGTGGGTGCTTTTGTCATTCAGATGGTGATAAACTGACAGAAACCCCCTTGTTGGTGTCGGCTAGTCTTACCAAAGTAGTCCGATTTTGGCTGGGCATCCATCTCTTTTTCCAGTTGTTTCGTAAGTGCCTCTAGTTTGATTTCAGCTGCAGAGGGCCCCTGCTCCAGCGGCTGCACAGGCTGAGCGGTAGAAGGTATCTGGACAGGTTTAGGGGAGGACGGACCTCCAGGACCATCGCTGATGACCTGCATGGCCTGTACGCCACCAGGCATTTGGCTCCGAGCTGTTAGCTGGTTCTTAGAGGCACATGGGGCTGCAGAGGTCACCTGGGCTTTAGGTTGAGGCATTTCTGGGACAAAGGAAGTGGCTGCAGGACCATTATGGTTAACAGATTGTAAGTAATGACTCACAGGCTGCTGCACATGATAGTCAGCATCACCTGTGAAAGTGGTCAAAGGAAAGGCAGGGATGCCCTCTGATGATGGAGCACCAATGGGCTCTCCAGTCCAAGCCCTGGCTGTTCCAGCAGAGCACAGTGGACTCTGATTGGTTGCTTGTGAAGGACTGACAGTGTTAGATGTGTGCAGGCGCTGAGGCTGATGGTGGGATGTGCTGCTGCTCCCTGAGAGAGTGGGGGGCAGCTTGCCCTCTCTGGATGGGGAGACAGGGTGCAAAGCACTGGTAGCTGGACTTCCACAACTTGGCATGGAAGAGTTACTGTGATGGGAGGAATGTGGCTCTAAGCGCTCGTTATCATAATTGCTTCCGTAGCCGTACGCCCTGCTGGCTGGAGCTTCAGCCTGAACACACTGGTTCACCGGCACGGCGCTCGGAACCGGGCCCGACAGGATCGGGGGCTTCGCCGCCGCTTCCCCCGGCTGCCTGTAGCTGTTGATGGGCGGTCTGTCCTTGGTGTAATGAGCGCCGCCGTGGTGACCTCCGTTCATTTTAATCACCTGGTTGCTTTTTGCCATCTCCTCTTGCTGTTTCTGCATGTGTATTTTGGTCATTTTGGAGGCAAAAACCCTCCTAGTCTCTTCAAAGTCCGGGTTATTTCCTGCATCCCTCCTCATTCGAAACAAGCCATCTCTGGATGCTTCATACATGTTCAAGTCTTCGATAAACTTACTCGCTTCGAGTCCCAAATCCTCGTATTTATCCATTTTGTGTAAGAACACCGAACCGCTTGCTGTGATAAAGTTACAAGAAGTTATATATGAATCAAAAACGTCCGTAGGAAGAGTGATACCTCCAGAGTTTGAAGTCTTGACACACAGAGAGGGAAAAAACCCTATCCCGAACAAAGTCAAAACTACTTTAAATTAATCCCAACCTCGTTGTATTTCTAACTGAATCATCCGCGGGAAGAAAAAAGAAAAAGTTTTCCCTCGGTGAATCCGACAGTTCAGCCTCGAAGAAGCCGCCGTCTGTCTGTCTGACTGAGCAGATCCCGGATCAGATACTCTGACTGGACAGGACGACCCCTCAGCCGTTTGCCCCCTCCTTCTCCGCCTCCACCTCCTCCTCCGGTTTCACGGTCCCAGCGGGAAACATTCAGACAAAACTTTGTCCTCTGCGCTTCAAACGAAGATGAAGAAGAAGGGGGAAAAAAGTCCACCACGTTTGTTAAAGACAAATAAACCCTTGGCTAAGGTCAGGGCGGTTATGGGATAGGACTCGTTAGCCGCTGTTACCGCTGTTGAAAGGAGCCATACGTGGCCACCGGACGACAGTTAGGACACAAAGCACAGAGCTGTGTTTTTAAAGGCGCAGTACTCGCATTAAACGCGACTGAAAAAATATCACTTTCCTTATCTGTCCTAACCGAATTAGCTTTACCGACAGACAAAAAGTCACCATGTAACTAAAGAAATGCCTTCATTTTTTTTTTTTAAGTTTCCCCAATGTAAAAAATGTGTTGCGTTTATGTATTCAGTCGTCTGACACCCCTAAATAAAATTCAGGGCTTCACTTGCTTTCAGAAATCACGTCTTAAACTTGTTATTAGAGTCCTTCTCCTCGCAGAAGTTTGTTAAAACATTAGTGAACTAACAATACAAAGATATGATCATACCAAAAGGTTTTAGGGATGAAGTTATAACCCAAGTACCTTTAGTTACCTCGGGATACTGTTTTATAACCTAAAGACACTTTAGGTTATATTTTCGAGCTCTGTCGAGAATCTGACAGAGCTTTGTTCAAACCATCATCCAAATAAGGAATGTGTGTGATTCACCTGAGCAAAACATCAGCACAATGCAAATGCACTTTTAATTTTTTTACAAGTACACATGTTGAAAGCCATTCATTATTTCACTTTATGAATTGCCCCCTATAATAGTTATGTACTTCTGGTGGTAATATGAATAGTTTTGCAAGGCAGTGTTCATCCATTTGATTAATAAAATGCTCCAAACTTAGCCACTCCTACACACATTTTCCCCCATATTGCTCTGGAATAGGGAGGTGTACTTTAAATTGCAAGGCAACTCTGGCACACACACACACACACACACACACACACACACACACACTTGAATATTGTTTGTGAGATATTTCAACTTTGCAGTAGTGGATTTTTTCCCCTTTTAATAAAAGCTCAGAAAGCTAAAAAAAAAAATAAAATAAAAGTTTTGCATGAAAAGTTTAAAAACAGCATGATGAGTTTACAAACTGCTACATTCATACATGCAAATATGTCACAAATTTAAGCAAACAGGATGTCAAGGGAGGCCTAGGCCTCGGCCAGTGGTTAGATTAAAATAGTTTACACCACAAGACTTGACTATCCATGTAAAGAAGATGCAAAGACAATAAAACTTTTAAGAGTGTGTGCAGACATCATCCTAAGAATTTGCTCCTTCTGCCTAACCACAGGCTAGTTATCATTCAGAAGTTAATCAAACAATAAAATAAAAAATAGATTGTAATCACTGCATTTGCATATCATATAAACATTTTTTAACCAAACTATATTAAGAATGTTGAAACGAGGTGCTCAAACTGTGCTTTCACAAACATTGGATACTAGCTATTTATTGTAAACTGAATATTTTGCGTAAAACATAAATATACACAAATGTGGAAAAATAAGAGAAACCACTTAAAACAACAAGTTGAACTTATTCTCAAATTTAACTGTAGATTTCTCAGACTACACACATTAATTCATAAATGTAAATGTATTTCCGCAAAAAGGAGAGAATACGTTTAGACAGATTAAATTGTCCTAATTTTCCTGCTAAGGAGAATTTTGCAGCAGAAACATTAGAAAGAAGCAATATTAATCCAGTTGTCAATAGACATGATTTGCAGATTGATTACAAAAGATGAAAACAGTTAAAATTGCTCAAAGTATCAGGAGAAAAAAAGTCCACAGCATTATATATAAATCATGCGCACTGAGGGCAGATGATTTATTTCTTTTGAAACCGACTGTTTTGTTAGTTTAATTATACAGGGTAAAAGTCATATTATCTGTGTCAAAACATTGTTGTGGTTTCACTCTTCATATCCTGAATATTTGGCAATTTAACAGGGGTGCGGACACCTTTAAGAGTCACTATATTTCAAGATACATTCACACAGTTTTGGTACTGAGGACTTGAAAATGCTGTCAAAAACAACAACAACAAAAAACTACATGCCCTGTATAAATATAGATTCCAGTGCAAAACAGAACACATATGGATATTATGGACAACATGTGGGATATTGTTGCTTTAGAATTTTACAAGTTTGCATCTACTCAGTTTGTATTTACTTAGCTTTATCCTAAACGCAGTTAAGGGAATAGCTACAATTTGCTTAGACAGTGACGTCAGGAACATCCTCAGAGGATCAAACAGTCCTCCTTGCGGTCAGCCTCCCGCTTAATGAGCTATAGCATTACTGTGCCCTCCTGTGGGAATGCATAAGACAGTCCAGAAACTAAACTGGCGCAGTGAAGGGTGACTGGGACTGCACTGCTGCATGCCCCACCCTTTCTCTTTTCTTTTTCTTTGTCTCTTAAGAGTTTCTCAAGAGGAAAGGAAGTGATTTACTTTAACACACTAAAGATAACTCATGGTGCACAAGGCTACGGCTGGGGTTTGAAGACAAAGTGAGTCACTGGCAGCACTTCCCTGTTCAAAGTTGTCATGGAAACTGCAGAACTGACAAAAAGTGTTAAATGGTATGGCGGAGGCCGACAGTGACAAAATTAACTGTCAGAGGAAATGCATCACTGCAGCTTAGGCCTTATTTCTTAAAATGAGAAGAAACATTTTCAATTTTAACTTGTAGTCTGGGATTTTCTGGCAGCTCTAAACGATCCAAAATAGTCGCATAAACTAATGCGACTCATAAAGTGTTGCATTGGTATACGAGTTGCGACAATGACTCGAAATAAATCAGATGTTAGCTTAAAAAAAAGAAAGATTGTGTGTGGACTTTATTTTTATTCCACAAAATCAATTCTGGACGTTGAAAGAAAACAAAAATTTGAGGTGACGGAAGATAAAGAGCCTCTATCTTTGGCCTTTCCATTTTGTGCTGTGACAGCATTTGGCTGAGCTTAGGTGTGCATATTTAACAGAGAGAATAGCTAAAACAGGTTTGGCTCTGGTTCTCTTATTCCTGGCCTTTCTTCCTGTTATTCTGTCCGTCCTGAAAGCGCTTCCTGTCACCTGATGGTGGGTGATAAATCACAGAAATATGAAAAGAGGCTAAAGGAATGTTCTGCTTTTCTCTCTCTCCCTTTCTCTCTGCAGTTTGTTTTGGGCAAATACAGTTCACAAAATGACACACAAGCGTATTTTGAGACGACAAAATTGTTAAAATGCTGATATTAGAAAATTCTTGTGTGGGATGCAAACTTTCAGCACACACCTACAAAAAAAAAATCCTGTGGGTACTGAAAGGTTGTGAAAGACAAACGCTTGCATATATCAGATGACTGCTTACTCACACAGGCTTTAAAGATAGGCCAGTGGGTGGGCACGCAGATAGATTTCAGCGCCTCCAGCTTGTGGGCTCTTTGAGTGCAACGCTAATGGCCAAGTCATGGTGGCCCACTGCCACACAGACACAGAGCTAATGAACAGGCGCCGCCGGTGATGGGGCACTGAGCAGCTATGGATAATCAAGATGTGATGGCAGAGTAAAAACAGACCCCCCCCCACCTCCTACCAACCACATTAGTTAAATCCCACTCACCTTTTGATGGCAGCAGGGTTGGACAGGCAGAACCCAACAGCGCTTCTTAAAACCTAAACAGCAGCTCGCGTACAAGAATATTCAGACACTTTGAACGTTTTTTTCAGAAATTAACTCAAAATTGCGGAGAACAACGTCTAATGAGAATAATCCGATGGACAAACTTCTGATCTGATGATCAAACTGATGATCTGATGACATTTTTGTTTCAAAACCGATTATCAGAAAAATGTATCCCCATCTGTGTCCATCCTTCTGACTCCCCTAAATAAAAGTCATCACAGATAATTATTAAACAGAAGCCACTTGTTTTGAAATTTAGTCTCAGCATAAACCCAACAGTTTGGTAACGGTCCACAGCTAACAACAGCTGTAGGCTGTGCGCTTAACAAACTTGGTAGCAAGAAGAAAGCCATTCCCATAATGAAACATGGCGGTGATGGCAGCATTATACTATCGTGATCATTACTAACTTTTAATAGAAGGATAAGGGAAGCTGTTCAGAGTTGATGGATGGAGTTAAATACAGAACAATCCTGAAAGAAAAACCTGCAGAGACAGCTAAAGACTTGTGACTGGGGAGGAGATCCCCCTTCCAGCAGCAGGTTAATGTCCCTAAACATACAACCAGAGCTATGATGGAAACATTGAGATCAAAGCAAACCCAAACCCAACTGAGAACCTCTGGGAAAGCTTGAAAATAAATGTTCACAGACATCCTCCAATCCATCTAACTGACTTTAAGCTATTTTGCAAAGGAGGATGTGCAAAAATGTGAGGCTTTAGAAGTGCACTCCATGTTGCTCAGAATAGCTTTTCAGCACTGATAAGGGATATCTATACTTGGCTGAGAAGCAGCCCAAACAGGGAGGTGTGAAATGGTGGCACAGAAGAGGTTATACATTTGATGAATGTGTGAAGGACGTCCGAGTTCGACACTTGGGTTCATAATTTATCAACAGAGGTTGAGTAAAACTGAAGGCTTTCTGAACCTATCCTGGTCAGGTTTGCAAAGATTACCCACACTCTGTTTGTTGAATGTTTTATTAAAAACTGTAAAATATAAATAAAATGCTCTTGGAGGACATTTACCTTGATACTTTTAACAGACCAACATACCTTCTCTCTCATATAATATCAAAATATCAACATTATTTGTCAGTCTGTGGGTGCAGCAGGAAGGCACCGCCCGCCAGGTGCTGCACACAATCTGGTAAACACCCATACATCATTCATTAACCAGGAAGTTGATGAGGGGAGTCCTGGTAGAGAGGATGGCTTTCTTGATGTCACGCTCACTCAGATACTTCTGTCCGATGGGGCTCTCCATCACCAGCTGCTGGACCCGGGCGGGATCTTTGGACACCTGCAGAGGGATGGTCACCGTGCCACAGCGCTTGTTGTTTATCTGAGGGCAGGAAACAGAAGGTAAGCGATGAGAGAATGTTCCAGTTCTTCCTGTGAAAGGTTTTCATCATCTGGCAAACATTCGACCCGATGGATCTGTACCTAAACTCTTTCTTGGAAAAAAACACCACCCTCTAAAATAACACACTCC